CCCTCCTCTCATCCCCCAACCCTGACTTCTGCACCCCCTACCTTCAGCCTCCTGCCCTGAGCCCCTCCTCATTCCTAAACCTGACTCCTGCACACCCCCAGCCTCCTGTTCTGCGCCCATCTTCACCCCCCGAACCTTACTCCTACACCACCCACACCACCATCCCCCTTATCTCCAAGCCCCTGCCCTGACTTCTGCATCCCCCACAACCCTCTCTCACCCTCATGCCTGACTATCACTTCCCAATCCCCTGCCTTGAGCCCCCTTCACTCCATCTCATGCTTAAATTTCGTACAGGTACTGTTTTATCACAACTGTCCCCACTCCCCAAAAAACCTCCATCCCGGTGTAAGGAATGAAAACTATTTTCACTCTTGAACTGAAACAATATGAGCCAGAAAAAGAGGATGAATGTGGAATAGGATTGCTTCTCAATAAACCTTACAGAAAAGAGATAAAAGAGAAATTTGGAGTAGCGCTCTGTTTTGGCACTGCTAAATGAATGCTTATGGACTGAAAACTGCACATAAATGATAACTAGGACCACCAAATTTGGTACACAGCTTCCTGTTATCATTAATTAAAGCAATGTAAGGGTTTGGTTGTGCAAGGCAAACAGGATGGCTGTGTCTAGACTGCATCCCTTGTCTGTAAAAGGGATGCAAATTAGACACATCGCAATTGCAAAGGAAGCGGGGATTTAAATCCCCGCTTCATTTGCATAAACATGGCTGCCGCTTTTTTCCGGCTTGGAGCTTTCCCGGAAAAAATCGCCAGTCTAGACAGGGATCTTTCGGAAAAGGGTTTATTTTCCGAAAGATCCCTGTCTAGACTGGCGATTTTTTCCGGGAAAGCTCCAAGCCGGAAAAAAGCGGCTGCCATGTTTATGCAAATGAAGCGGGGATTTAAATCCCCGCTTCCTTTGCAATTGCGATGTGTCTAATTTGCATCCCTTTTACGGACAAGGGATGCAGTCTAGACACAGACGATATGTCTGGAATAGGATTGCTTTTCTTAAAACCCAACAGAAAAGAGACACACTCACCAAATCAAGTACAGTCTTCAAAACTGACATAACTGAGCAAATGACTGAACCACAATAAACCAGAAAAATAGGATGGACCCAAAATAGGATTGCTTCTCAGTTAACCTCACAGAAAAGAGATAAAAGCGAAATTTGGAATAGTGCCCTATTTTGGCTCAGATACATGCTTTAAGTTTGAAAACTATAAGAAAATGTTATTGCAAATCACATTAACTATAGCCCTTTGTTAAAATATAGCAAACTATAAGAGTTTGTAGTGCTGAAGTAAAACAAATACACTTGATGGAATTCCCATTTTTTAAAAATGACTAAAAATGTATTGGAAAATGTTAATAATCCCTTTTTTAAAGAAATCTGAAATAAAAAATAACTTCATAAAAATAATACTGTGTTTTTGAAAAATACTATCATGTATATTTTCCTTTTATTTAAAAAAAAACCCTCTTACCTGAGTTAAAGACTCAACCAATGCCAGGTTAATCTGCTAGTTTCTAATAAAATGAAAATATCATTAGCTGTCCACCATGTGCATTTTTATGGGAAACTTATTAAAATAAATTCAGACATAGTTTGGCTGGCTTTTGTTCTTGCTTTTAAGTAATACGATGATCTCTGGTGCTACATTATTTGTTACTGGCATTGTGAGACTTCTGGAGTACCAGAGAAAGGAAGATTTTGCAGAAAATATGCCCTTAAATGTTATGTATTATAGCAGCAGTTACTGTCATAAAGTGATTTAATGGCATATTTTGTATTCTGTAATACTTAGTACTAATAAAGCTTTGTTCCATAATGCTGTATAAGCTCTTTAATGAGAAACAGTCACAAACAAAGAGCTTCTGTGAATTCATTTTAAGTGAAGTGAATGCTTTTAAGACAGCCTAAACTAATTTAGAGGTAAGGTAAATACATCTTAGTAAATAACACCTTTCAATAGATATATTTTGTCTTGTTATAATTATTAAAATTAATAATTACAAAACTTGTTCTTATTGTTGGTTTGTTGTTGTGAATCTAAATATTATTACCTCCTTTGACACCAGTTAAATAGAAAATTAACTAAAGAATAATAATTTGTGAAAAATACTAAATAAAGAAAAAAGCTAATTGTGTTGAATCATAAAGACATTTTATTTTAAAATTGCATTAAAATCACTAATATGGTTAGAAGGTTTGGTAGGATGGAACAGGGGAGAGAAAAGCCACTAGTAGGTGATAAGTGATGTGATCTAATATACTTCATAAACATTGTCTTTTTGGAACACATTTGCTATAGATAAGGGATCATCTTTATCACGAGGAGCAGTCCCATAGCTCTGAGCAGGAAAGAATGAGGACAGAAATCTCTGACCTGACAGAAGAGCTTCATCAGAAGGAGATCACTATAGCAACTATCATGGAGAAAGCTACTCTTCTGGAAAGAAAGTTAAAAATGGAGTTGGAGATAAAAGAAAAATTGTTAGCAAAACAACAGGTATGCAAGCAAAAAAAATGAATAAAAAAGAAATAAAAGACAAGCTCATTCTCTAGATCATTACTGATAATGACATCCATTCTCTGATTAAAAATAAAAAAGGATTGCATCTTGTGCTTTTGTTTGTAATCAGCTTGCTATTATATTTAATGAAATAATAATACCATTTATTTTGCCTTTAGTTTTGTATCAGAACAATAAAGAACCAGTAAATGTAAATTGTGCAACATCCAACTTTAACGTACAGTCCATTCTGATCATCAGTACTGTAGTTTCATTTAAGCATATAAAAATTCAAGGTTATTTTTACAGTAATTCCTCAGTTCATGTTGTAGTTATGTTCTTGAAAAAATTTCCTTTAAGCGTATTAATGTTAAGCAAATGCAATTTCCCATAAGAATTCATGTAAATGAGGTTAAATTGAAGAGAATTTTTTTCACCAGACAAAAGACATTAAAAATTATACTGTGTGTATACAGAGCAGAAACACAATTTACCAAAACCCTTGACATGTATATGCAAGGCTTGACAAGCGGCAGTGAGCCTTGCTCGCCAGCCACACGGTTTGCCACACTGTGCATTCACAGACTGTGCTGCTCATGCGCTGATCACACTGCGGCACCGTGCCAGCTTAAAATCTACTTGCCCTGGGTGAGTAGATTGACTAATTTGTCGAGCCCTGTGTATATGTATATGTATATGTGTATAAAACAACTTCTAATCAGAGGATTGGTGTTTATTTCAAGTGGGATATTTCCTAGGGCATGCCTTTCTACGTGGTTGCTGACTTGCTAAAGTGCTGTGGGTACTCAAACCCCCAGCTCTGCCCCAGGCCTGCTCCCACTCCTCCACTCCAGAGTATCCTAATACCTCCCCTCTTCTTAGCTGACTGAATGTGATAAAACAGCTGATTGTTGTGGGTAGGAGGAGCAGAAAGATAAAAGAGAAGCTGCATGCTTCCCTCCTGCAGCAGTCAGGGAAGGCAGGGGAGAGTAACAAGGATGAGGCTTTCAGACATCCCTCCTTTCCATGCCTCCCATCTGCAGAAATCAGCTCTTTTAGGGCATTCTGGAGAGGGAGGAGGAGGCTGTGTGCCACTTCCTCCCTCTCTTCCCCCAGAGTTTCCTGAACACTTGCCAAACAGTTGATTGCTGTGGGTGAGGAGATGATGAGACCACTGGCCCACCCTGGTTTCAAGCCTCCACATGCTAACAGGAGGCCAAGCAATGTTATAAGCAAACGTTGTGAAGCTTTAAACAAATATGTTCTCTAAGGGTATGTCTACACAACAGAGGAAGATTGAAGCTGCCACTGTCAATCTTCCAGGGTTCGAAGTAGCGGGTCTAGCGAAGACTCTAAGTGAGAGGGGCATTCCGGTCAGTGCTGGTAACCCTGCTTTCACAATGAGTAGGGGAATTTGAAGGAAGAATGCTGTTCTTTGGACTTTCTGCAGTGTAGACATCACCAAAAGCCAAGTTAAACTACTTTGACTTCAACTATGCAATTAACGTAGCTGAAGTTCCATATTTTAGTTTGACTTTGTCCCATAGTGTAAACATATTCAAATAGACCAGGGATGTATCAATGAAACAGCATTAACCAGGACAATGTTAAGTGAGGAGTTATCTTATTATACCTATTACATAATTAAAATTATTCATTATATCTAGAAACTTTATCTAATTTTGACAGCTTCTTTTAACCTTTTATGAAACTGCTTGGAGAAGTCAAGAAGTCAGTCAGTTGTAAAGATGGATTGTTAATCTTGCAGAATTGTAAATAATTGTAAACTTCAGTTTTAAAAACAAAAAAGCTCCATCCCTTCCTTATATATTTGAAAATGTCTGGAGAGCAGAAACACAATTTACCAAAACCCTTGAAATTTAGAGATGCTCCTTTCTGTATACAGGCAGTCCCCGGGTTATGTACAAGATAGGGACTGTAGGTTTGTTCTTAAGTTGAATCTGTATGTAAGTCAGAACTGGCGTCAGCCGCTGCTGAAACTGATCAGTTTCAACCGCGGCTGAATCTGGATGCCAGTTCTGACTTACATATAGATTCAATTTAAGAAACCCAGGCGTCCCCAAGTCAGCTGCTGCTGAAACTGATCAGCGGCTGATTCCAGGAAGCCTGGGGCAGAGCAACTCTGCCTGGGGCGTTGAATCTGTATGTAAGTCAGAACTGGCGTCAGCCGCTGCTGAAACTGATCAGTTTCAACCGCGGCTGAATCTGGATGCCAGTTCTGACTTACATATAGATTCAATTTAAGAAACCCAGGCGTCCCCAAGTCAGCTGCTGCTGAAACTGATCAGCGGCTGATTCCAGGAAGCCTGGGGCAGAGCAACTCTGCCTGGGGCTTTCTGTAGTCAGCCGCTGGTCAG